GATATTTAATTTTTTTATAATGTTTATTTTCTTTTTCATTGAACTGAGATAATTGTGATATTTTATTTTTTTATTATGTTTTTATTTTGTTTTAATAAAATAAATTAAAATTTCAGATTTGTTTAAATATTGCTTCTTAACCTCCCTTTAATATTTTAAGGTAATATTGCTACATGGATTTAAAAGCTATATTGATACAATATTGCAATTTAACCGTTCACGTACTTTTCGACGGTAATATCGATTCAATTAATATTAATTATTAGGATATAATTATTACACTGATAATTTTGATATTTAATTTTTTTATAATGTTTATTTTCTTTTTCATTGAACTGAGATAATTGTGATATTTTATTTTTTTATTATGTTTTTATTTTGTTTTAATAAAATAAATTAAAATTTCAGATTTGTTTAAATATTGCTTCTTAACCTCCCTTTAATATTTTAAGGTAATATTGCTACATGGATTTAAAAGCTATATTGATACAATATTGCAATTTAACCGTTCACGTACTTTTCGACGGTAATATTGCGGCAACATTGCATCAACAACATTTATGCATATTGCTACATGGATTTAAAAGCTATATTGATACAATATTGCAATTTAACCGTTCACGTACTTTTCGATGGTAATATTGCGGCAACATTGCATCAACAACATTTATACATCATTCGTACCTTGCATTGCAATATTGCTGCAAGGAAGAATTAGGGTTGCTACAACATTGCAGCAATATTGCTTTACGGTTTGATGCAACATTACAGATTACAAAGTAATATTGCGTCAACATTGCAGCAATGTTATTTTGCTCAGTGGTGTTTCCACACTTATAGCGGGGGTGGAATTTAGATATGTAAAATTAAGTAATTAAATTATCTGAGTAATACTGAGTTACATAATTTTTAATCGTCCAGGTTAAAGAATTAAAATATTAACGAGCTCCAAAAATACATGCTTCAAAATTTTGTAACGATTTCTCACGTTTTTTGCTAATATGGCGCCCTACACGGCCTCCATTTTAAATTTAGCCAAATGCCGTTTTGTATTCGAAAGTTTATGACCTAAAGAAGATTTTAAACCTTTGGTCATATTTTTTGGTTTTCCCAATTTTCGGAGAGGGGGGGTAAAATTGACGTGGACCGTCCCATATATATTAATATTTATTATTTTAAAATTTAATTTTTAGTACAAATTAATTACAAAAAAATAGTGGCCTAAGAGCACATACATATCTCGAAAAGCGATAATTACAAGGTCTACATTTTTTGCGTTATAAAGTAATATTTTTATTAAAAACATGTAGGTAATCATGGTCACATTTTTTTGCGTCTTAGTGTATTTACGTTTTTATTGAAAATATTACTTTTTCATCTGCATTTAAACGTTTGTATACATTGTATACAATGTGTCGCAGACAGCGTCCTCTAAAATTTATATCTACCTACATCTAGTCTATAAATATATAAGATATATGTATATCAATTATTGATGTATGTATATTTAATTCATCAAACAGATTTTTTGTCAGACAGTGTTTAGTAACGTGAAATATTCAATCTAATTCCCTTTTTTGTAGTTTACTTAAACGATTAAAATTTGTTTTTACGGAAGAAACAAAAATTATTATTATGTAGATATAAAAACAAATATGTTTTGAAAGTTTCACGTGTTTTATTTACTTTTGACAATTGTTTCGTCACACAGTGACTTCTTCAGAATATATTTGTTTTTATATCTACATAATAATAATAATATGGAGTTTCATCAAGTAAAGGTCGAAACAATCAAATATAGAAACAAAAATATTCAAATGCCGAACTCCCGCTTTTTGTTTCCTTGTGGCAACCTTACTCCCCCCTAGAGCTTAGGACAAACTAGTTTTAATTTGTGCCTACATTTTTATTTCGGTTGTCGCTTTAGACCAGTGCTGCCAGATGGTTTTTTCCTTAAGCGGTAGATGGTACCACTAAAAAACGGTAGAAAGCGGTAGATTGTTCAAAATTAAAATTTTTATCAGAATTCGAAAAGAATAGCGTAATAAATTGCAAGAAATAAAACACATAAAATACAAAAATCATTTATTTTATTTTTCTTTTGAGCAGGCGAGCCTTACTTGTACTTTCTCTGTCAGTTGCTTCGTCTGAACTAGATGTTGGACTGTTGGAATGTTAAAATCTAATCTATGGTTAAAAGAGGAGAAATGTGTAATCTGTAAAGCGGTAAAGTCCCAATCGCACAGCCCACTGTAAAGCGTCATCCAGGAAGATATAATTTTACAAGTGTACGTTCCGAACTAGAAGTTATAACTGTAAACATTTTTCTTTTCAATAGACGTATTCCGAATAAATTGTCCATGATAATTTTTAAATTTAGTTAGTCTATGCATTGTACGATTTTCAAAAAATTACAAGGAAAAAACGGTAGAATACAGTGGCTAAGCGGTAGAGCGGACAAGCGTCTACGGGTAGCTCGATCACTTTTATTCCGAACAAATTAGGCAACCCAAAATACTCGAATTATTCACTTATATTTTAGCGCAATAATTGATTTGCCAAGTATTATATTATTTTATAAAATTACAACATAGATTTTAATCTTTATATGTATTGTAACTTATGAGTTACAATGCTTAGTACAATATAGATGTATCTATATATACTAAGTAAAGAATTATAATGATCAGTAAATAATTCATGTATGCTACCTATTAATTATAATTACCTAATAATAATTATTGTAGTAAATAATGTTAATGGCCTGAATATTGATAGATCTAAGTGATTAGTTGGAATCATAGATTATATAAAGGTTGGAATGCTAGTTGACTTATCTAATATTAATATATTACTTCCAATATAATTTTTGCTAGTCTCTTTCCCTGCACCTAGCATTTATTATAATATACATATATGTATACTGTTAAAAAATAATAATAATAAATTGTTAATATTTTTTTGTGCACATTTGACGTTAAATACTTGTAATGTCTGCTTATTTTTGTTTTTGAACATCAAAACAAAAATTAACAAATATTAATTAATAACCTATGTAACCCCTTAAGGGGTTACATGGGTTTTGATGGCAAAAAAATCAATTTCTCTATTATTTTTAAATACAAAAAACGATTATTTTATTCAAACTATTAATTAGGAACAATAAAAGAACAACATTTAAGATAATATTATATATTATATAAAACTTAATTTATAAGTTATAAACTAAAAAATTAAATATAAAATATTAAAACCCAACAAGATTTACAAGGAAAGTGCATTGCACCATTATAGATTATTTTTTGATAATAAACCTAATGCTATGGAATTTGCATCTTCAGAAGTAGGCTTGACAAATCTTGATGTTGAGGACCCCTTTTGTTTTTTTCTGGAGTAAAGTCTTCTTTGTGGAACTATTTTTTGATTATGCGGTGAATTATGTGCTAAATTTTCATGTTTTTTTATATTTCCAGATTTTTTTAAACTGTTTATTACAGGGCCTATGGGAGCAACTAGATTTTTTACCGCATTTAGCTGTTTCCTGTTCGTGATGCTGTTTAGGTTTTGTATAAAATTAGCAATTAGAGTCTCCTTTTTTTTTTCTATATCCTCATCCACCTTAGACTGTTTTAGCCCCTCCCATATGCCTGTTAGCTCTTGAGTCGCTGATTGTTCACAAACTTCAAGGCATCCTCCATCTCCTAGAAACAAATAGGAGATATTGTCACATAACTGACAATATAATAATAGGTTTAAAAAGTACATAACCAACAACTACGATCCAAAACCTTGTATATCCAAAATTGCAAATTTTACAAATAAAAACAATTTATGAGGTTTAGTATTATAACTCAACTATGCTAATATGAATACAAAATATTTTAGACACCAACTCCAATACCAAAACCAATATTACCAATACCCATGGCGGATCCAGAATTTTAATATAACATTATTAATTATTATATTAATATTTATTGACAATAAATGTCTAATTTTGTTTTTTCTCAGAAAAAAATCTGTTCCTGAAGGGGGGGGCCTACCCAAACCCACGCGGATCCGCCATTGTCAATACCAAAACCATAAAGCTTTATAAAAAAGTATTTTTTTACATTTTACCTTATCAGATATAAGTTGTGAACACTCCAAGGTTTGTCTATAAAATTAATAAATATGTTGGATTTTTTTGGTTTAGTTAATAAATAATATATATATTACAAACACATATATGTATATAACTCACATAGGATATTATAATATAATATACCTACTAGGTAATAAGTGATAAAATATTTATATTGTGAATACATACCTCTGAAATCAGTTGGCACAGGTTCATTTATATTTGGTGTGATCTTCTTAAGATGTTGGCAAAGTAAGTGTATGTGCTTGCACATGTTCCACTTTATACAATAATCCATACATGTACATGAATATTTATGTATACATACATCACACTCTGTACATATTAGTTTGCAGTCACATTGTAACGGTATTTCGTCATACGGCCTTTAATTTAGGTAAGTAGGGGTATAAGGGGTTGCCTAACAATAACTTACTAAATTATTGTTAAGAGACACCCTGTAGATATTTTTTTGGTATAATTGGCGTCCATCTTAATTAGGTGTTTCCGCTAAAGGTTTACGCGAATCTATGAAAATCTGTGTCATCCTCTGGATTTTAAACGTTCTTTGTTTATAACACAAGAACCGCGATCTGGTGTCCAGGTAAGGGGGACATTATTCTTTAATTTAACGGGTATTCTTTAATTGGCGTTACCATTCCAGATTTTTGTTAGTTTTGTCAAGAATCTCACCTGGCTGATTGCTGGGCCTCTAAGCTTGTATAACGAGATTAATAAACCCTTGTACTCCACGTAGCTGTGTGTTTTTGTCTTTACGAACCATCCCTGAGGGTCGTGGCACCTTGGCACCCGTGTTACGTTACAACTTGGCTCCCAACGTGGGGCTAGTGGAAGCCATTAACCCTAAAAAGACAGAATGAGACGTGGAGTAAACCAAACCACTAACGAAGGCATGGTACTAAGAAGTCACCGACATGGGCAAGAGGCAGCAAGGAGCTTACCTATATTAACAGGTGCTCTCCAAACAAACCCTAATGCATTTTGGAACCAGGAAACAGAAACCACAGATGGCCAGCCTAGTTCGACAGCAACAGTCCATCAGCAAGCAACTCTACCTGGTACGTCTCTGACATCACCACACCACCATTCAGCGAGGATTCCTACAGCCCCAGAGGAGTGGCAATTCACCCAGGTAAATGCGACTGACAATGGACAAGGCTTCTCATCAAATAGCACACAAGGTAGGAATGTTCCTTTATTAATTAATGGGGATAATGACCCACAAACTGGTAGACAGCATACTATGGGGTGGATACCACCGTTTACATCAGGCACTCAATTTATTAATAACATTGCTGCACATACAGGAGCAGTACCTAGAAATAGTTATTATAATGATAATGTACAGCTAAATAATCAGAGTTTTTTACCTCCTACCAATGTAAACAGTAATCAGCAAGGTTGGAGAGGTTCTGGTCAACCTGTTTTTCTTGAAACACAAACTAGAAACGTCAATATTGGTAATTTTCCCACACAAAATCAAAACAGATTTCCTAACCTCAATTTCTCACATAACCATAGTTTGGATAGTCCTAACAACAATACACTCATTCAAACAATAAAACAAATTAAAAAAATGCTTCCTTACTTCGAGGACACCAGTGAGGTTCATCCGGTAGAATTTATCAACAAGTTGGAACAAATGTTGCGCCTTTTTGATGTCCCAATGCACGTAACCATAATGATTTGTTCAGATTTATTTCGCGGTAAAGCCAAACCTTGGGCGGAAGCATTATTACACAGTTTCACTGATTTTGATTCGTTTAAAGTTGCGTTTCTCGAACAATTTTGGGGCTCAATGCGACAAACCAATTTAAGGTTATGTCTCCATTCGGGGAAGTTCGAAACCGGAGTCGGCAACGTCGTAAACTATTTTTTGAAATTGGTGTCGCAGGCTAGATTTTTGCAACCGCCGTATACCGATATCGAGCTGATAGCAATAATATCTAAACATTTTCAGCCCACGATATCATGCGCTTTGGTGGGAGTGAGCACAGTTAACGAAGCTCTTAATAGATTACGTCTGGCTGAACATTACTACCATGATTTTAAAACTAGCGGGTTTCAGAAAAAAAATTACGAATATAAACGTGAAAAAAACGAAACAGTCGAAAGCGTAGATAAATTAAAACCAAACTATGACCGCGCGCGCAATTACCCGAAGTACAATCGAGTCAATAACCTTGCATTTGAAAACGGCGCGGAGATGGAAACATTCGAGCAAACGGAATACGAGGGTCAGTCAAAAAACTAAGCGTGTCACTCCAAAACAATGACTCGGTTTTGGGGAATATCAATAGAGTCAACCCCTTAAATAACCCCAAGGATGATTTAATGCAGGAGTGTGATTTTAATCATTCAACTAATTTAGAGAATCACCCCCCTGTGGTAGCGGTTAGCATTAACGGGATACAATACCCGGCATTGTGTGATACAGGCTCTGAAGTCTGTTGCTTTTCGGATTTAATTGGTGACAACATCATAGCCGAAATGCCGATGTTTCCAGTTAGTGGTGTCCGCGTTACGGGGGCGTTTAAAAACAAAAATCGAAAGGTCACACACCAAGCATTAGTAACTTTTGACCTCTCAGGGCAGCAATTTAATTTCGAATTCCTCTATATCCCAGATTTAGTTTATCCAATAATCATAGGAATCGATTGGCTAAGATCTGTGCAAGCGGCTATAAACCTTGAAAGCAAATGTATTTATTTTAAGGTCAAAGGTAGATGTTTTTCAATACCTGAAATACAGCCAGTCCATTTGTTTTCACCAATTGCGCATGTGGCGATCCGCATAGCACATATTAATAAATCTTTGTCGCCGCCTGGTAGTTCACGGTCACAGAACTTAAGTCCACGGCCTTACGAGGCCACAGAGGAAGAACTGGACAACGTTGAGGTGGACGTCTCCCTGTCAGAGGAAGAAAAATATCGGCTTACACAGTTATTGAAAAAACATCGTAGGACTTTTTCAGAAAAACCAGGTCGTACTGAGGAATATCTGCATAAAATCGTGCTAACCGATAATACCCCTTTTATGGTAAAAGCGTATCCCATCCCCCTAGCGCATAGGGAAGCCGTACAAAGGCAAATAGAGCAAATGGTGGAATGGGATGTTATAGAAAGGTGTGATACGGCTCCCTATTGTTCACCCCTCGTAACTACCGTCAAACGCGACGGATCGGTGCGAGTGTGTTTAGATGCTCGTCGACTTAATCGCGTTATGGAGCCAGACTACGAAAAACCGCGGCCTATTCCCGAGCTGGTAGGTACACTGCCAGCTAAAAAGATTAAATTCATTTCACGCATTGACATGACTCACTCATACTGGCAAATTCGTGTTAGACCGGAAGACACTGGTTTTCTGGGGTTTATTTTCAGGGAGAAGACTTACCGGTTTAAAGTTCTTCCGTTTGGTCTCAAAACCGCGGTTGCTTCCTTCAGTCGAGCCATGAATGTAATTTTTGGCGAACAGTTTAGGGATTTCTTGTTGTTGTACGTGGACGATTGCTATATCGTTTCAGAAAGTTTCGAGGAACACTTGAGACATTTGGACCTGGTTCTTAGTCGGTTATCCAAAGCGGGGTTTACACTTCGGTTGAAGAAATGCGAGTTTTTCCGAAAGGAGATGTGCTTTCTTGGTTATGTCGTCAATGAAAGCGGGTTCCATTCGGACAGGAGCCGTACACGTTCGATAGCAGATTTTCCCCCACCGAAAAACGTTAAACAATTGCAGGCATTCATTGGGCTCTGTAATTACGATCGAGTTTTCTGCAACCAATTCGCTTCTGTCGGGGAACCATTATTTAATTTGCTACGCAAGAAAACTAAGTGGCGTTGGAGTGACATCGAGAACCAGGCTTTCCAAAAACTGAAAAATCTGCTGCAAGAGGAGGTGCTCCTCTATCACCCCGATGTCACACTACCTTTTTGGGTCCAAACCGACAGCAGTGACGTGGGTCTCGGGGCGCAGCTTTTCCAACGGGTTGACGGTAGACGGCGCGTAGTGGCTTATGCAAGTCGGCTGCTGTTGGAAAGAGAACGAGCGTGGAGCACTACGGAAAAAGAATGTCTCTCGGTCGTATGGGCATTAAACAAATGGAGAATTTACTTACTGGGGACAAAGTTCTTCGTCCTTACGGATCATAAAGCGCTTTCTTACTTAAACTCCTGCCGACTTTTATCACCTAGAATTACACGATGGGTACTCGCGCTCCAAGAATATGATTTTGAGGTTAGGTACGTTAACGCTAGGGACAACATCGTGGCCGACACACTCTCGCGATTTCCGTCTTCCCGACCTACGGTACCAGCGGATAAGTGCTTCCGCATTTTATCTACGTCAGTTAGGCTTCCGGACGAGCTCCAAAGGCGTTTGGCCTCTGTAGGAGAAAAACAACTGGTCGACCCTAAGCTGGCGGCTATTATTGACCGCGTTGAAGAACACCCTGAAGCGCATTCCCGGTTCATTCTTCACCGGGGTGTACTTTTCGTACAGCAAGGCGAAGGCGAGCACTGCCTGTTATGTATTCCTAAAGACCTGGTTAATCATATTATTGTTGGATTTCATGAAGCCTTAGGTCATTTTGGAGTGTTTAAGACCTGGAGTGCCCTGAAGCGGGAAGTGTGGTGGCAAAACATGCACAAGGATGTAAAAAGGGTCTTAAAAAATTGCCAGATTTGCCAGCTAGCGAAACAAGCCTTGCTCCCAAGTTTACCATTCCAATCCATTATTCCCGAACGTCCTAAGCAGCTGCTAGCCTTGGATCTTTATGGCCCTTTACCCCGGTCACGAGGGGGAGCTGCTCACATTTTGGTAGTTGTGGATGTGTTTACCAAATTCGTGCAGTTATATGCCCTAAAGAATGCCACAACCACATCAATCCTTAACAGACTTAAGAACGAATATTTCCCATCCTACGGAAAACCAGAACAAATATATAGTGACCATGGTTCACAATTTACTGCGGCTCAATGGACGCGTGCGCTTGAATCTTTGGGAATAACCGCTCTCAAATCTTCCATCCGTCACCCCATGGCTAATCCTTCAGAACGGATAATGCGCGAATTATCCCGCCTATTTCGTACCTACTGTAGCGAGAGACACACTAGATGGGCATATGAATTGGCCAAAATCGTAGATATTATTAATTCCGTCACCCACGAGTCCACTAACGCTTCACCTTACGAATTGCAGACAGGCAAGCCAAATGAACTACTAACCGCTAAACTAATTGATATACCCAACAATAACAAAGCGCTAGATGCGCATGTCAAGGTTTTTTTAGCGAAAGAGGCCTTGCATTCTCGAGCAGCTCGCCGAAACGCACAGCAGTCCAGACAGCGTGTGGTTAGCTTCCTAAAGGGCGATCTGGTGTTATTGAAAGCGAACCCTGTGTCATCCGCACTCGACAAGCGAACTAAAAAATTTATGCTGTTATTCGAGGGCCCATACAGGATTAAAAACGTTGTGTACGTCAATACATATATTTTGGAAAATCCTCATACGGGAGAGGAACGGGGAATGTTTCACGCTTCTCATTTAAGAAAATTTAATCATGTTTAATTATTATTATTACTTGCAATACTAAGCCTGCTAACCCGATCTGAAACATAGGGATTACTGTCATTGTTGTTACCAAATAATGCTACAACTCATAGATTATAAAAAGTTAGTTTAAATCGCGTTTTCAGTCTGGGGGGGTAGTTGTAACGGTATTTCGTCATACGGCCTTTAATTTAGGTAAGTAGGGGTATAAGGGGTTGCCTAACAATAACTTACTAAATTATTGTTAAGAGACACCCTGTAGATATTTTTTTGGTATAATTGGCGTCCATCTTAATTAGGTGTTTCCGCTAAAGGTTTACGCGAATCTATGAAAATCTGTGTCATCCTCTGGATTTTAAACGTTCTTTGTTTATAACACAAGAACCGCGATCTGGTGTCCAGGTAAGGGGGACATTATTCTTTAATTTAACGGGTATTCTTTAATTGGCGTTACCATTCCAGATTTTTGTTAGTTTTGTCAAGAATCTCACCTGGCTGATTGCTGGGCCTCTAAGCTTGTATAACGAGATTAATAAACCCTTGTACTCCACGTAGCTGTGTGTTTTTGTCTTTACGAACCATCCCTGAGGGTCGTGGCACCTTGGCACCCGTGTTACGTTACAACATGTACCTTCATTTCTTTCAATTTTATAAACTTCAAAATTATTGGCCTGTGACGATGGAACTTCCCAGCAATTTTCATTTTGAAGTAGTAAACTAGCATCAAGTGTTTCACTACTCTTGTGCCTTTTCCGCAATTCTTTTAGTTTGGTGGATACTGTACCTTTACTTAAGACGATTACTCTGTTAAAGAGCTTATCACGAACAAATTTTAATATTTGATGAATGGCTTTGTCTAACCTCTTGACCTTTTTTCCATTAAAATAAATATACTTCAATGTCCTATGCATTCTTTCCAAATGCATGTTGGTGTTTAACCCACTGTTTTTTCTGTAACAATATGCCCATGACTCTTTGTTTTTCAAAAAATGTTCGGTAAAGTATTTGGAGAAATCTTTTGTTGTTATGTCATTTTTCATGGTCTCGATAAAGTTGTGGAGCATAGGTTGAAATGCCAAAATATCACGTTCCTGAAGTAGAGTTCTGAGGGTTTTGTAAACCATAACCTGCAAAAATATATATTTTTCTTGTTTACAATAAAAGAGAATAAAGCAGGTGATAGGTGAGGCACCTGATGGTATCCACATAAAACCATACCTGTTTTTCCTTTGCATTAATTTTATTTATGTTTTTCCTCCAGGTACGATCCACATGCCAGCAACAAAATAAGCTAAAAATGAAATTTTTGAGAACCAAACAAAAATAAAACGTTTTACTAACCGAAACTGTGCTGTTCCCATTGTTTGTATCCATGCATTATAATATATGGGTGCCATGTCTGACATAAATGTTTTGCACTGGATTGGAGTGCCAATTTTTTCTTTGACGCAATTCAAAAAAATTGAAATACACTCTGTGTCTGATCTATTTGAAATTAAAAAGGCACATGGAAAGCCTTCCCTCATATCATCAAGAACCAATAATGTGTGCAATTCAAAATCATATTGGTTAGTTCCATGAGTTCCATCCAGGCAAATGCAATCATGTCCATATTTTTGTAATACTTCTGCTTGTCCATCATTCATGATAATAAGAATGAAGTCATCAAATTTTAGTTGGGGGTACTGCTCTAAAGAAGTTTCTTGTGCTTTATAAAGAAGCACAGAACTTTCCATTTGGGATACCCAAGCCTCAACACTTACTGCATCATTTTGATGCCTCATAATTGTTGATTCCAAGTTAAAACATTTCTCTATATTATACAAATCTTTTTTTGTTAGAAGGTGAATTCTTTCTAACTTGGAATTCTCATGTACTTCATCCCGAATGTCATCCAAAATTTTTTGAAATGGGATTTTTAAAGACAATTTTGATGCAATTAATTCTCGTTCATTTTTACATAAAAATATATGTCCCAAGTCACCTTCATGTCCTACATGAGTTTGTAAAAAGTTAATTTCACAATTACCACTTTTATCAGAAGTAACTTTGATTTCTGCAGGACAGTAACTGTTTATCTTGTTACTACCTTGCGTCTTTAAATAACGAAGGCCTTTGCTTTTTGAAACAAAGTGTCCAGATCTGTGGCAATAATATGTTTCCGTAGAATGCTCCCTTGCATGAAATGTGCCCCTTTTCTTTATAAATTGAGAAGTTGTTTCATGCTCAATATTACCTTTCCAATTCAAAAATTCATCCATTGATGTGAATTTTAGGTTTAAAAACTTAAGTTCGATGTCATGACAATCTTGAAAATGTGTATGGAGTTGAGATTTTTTCAAGTTAGAAAATGCACATATAGGGCATTTTTTAATTTTGTTTTTGGCATTAGCCCCCTGATCTGTAACTTCTTTAGTATTATCCTTATTTTTCCCATGATGATGTTTTTTGTGATAATTTAAATGTCCAATGTTGTTAAAATTTCGGAGGCACATATCACAATTAAATTTATAGCTTTTGTTTGTAATTGGTAAATTTTCACCTAAAATAGTATATTTATTTCTTGTAATACACAATTCACACAACTCAAATTATTATTATTGTCTCTAATTTACTTACCAGGGTGATACAATTTAACATGCTTTTTAAGATTAAATAGTTTCCCAAATGATTTTTGGCAAATTTTGCATACTAAAGAATCCATATTATCCATATTCTGTGTTAAAAACGATACTACACAAACTAAAGTTTAAGTGTGGTTATGTAAAATAACTTACGTCTCAAAGGCAAACAGCGGCTGAAGCGAGTATTTTGGGTTGCCTAACTTGTCCGGAATAAAAGTGATCGAGCTATCCTTAGATACTAGTGTAGAGCGGTATTTCATCGGAGAAAACGGTAGATCTACTGTTTAAACGGTAGGTCTGGCAGCACTGCTTTAGACTAACCGCCCACTAAACACATTATTTGTAACGCTCATCGAAGAATTATTTGTGTAAGAAAATATTTTTTTACTTTTTGTGTCGAACTGGTGTGTTGAAAAGAATCAAAAGGAAACGTAAGTAAGTATAACGGGTTATAATTATTATTTTATTTGTTTCGCATCTAATAAAGTGAAAATCCTTACATATTTATTGAATATTATTTATTGCTTTTCTCAGTGACTTTCTATAATCACAACTTAATATTTTTTACAATTTTTTTTTAAATAAACAAACCAAGTTAATTTTTTATATCAATATTCGATAAACTTCAACAAAATAAAAATAAATTGAAAAAGTTTAGATAATTACTATATAATCACTGTGAAAACATTTTATAAACCTTTTTTTCTATATCAATTACTACCTATAATCAGTCATAATCATATTACAGTTGATCTTTTGGGTGATGCAAATTGCATCATGCAATCAGAATTTTTTTAACTGCAAAGTGCATAAATGACATGTATTAAATGTATTAGTTTTTGAGATTGTTAATTTTAAAAATGAGTCTGCAAAAGCTCTTAAACAAACAGCACAGTGACCTTGCCGGCCCGGCTTGCCCCTCCAACGCCACAGCGCACAGTGTTGCATCCAATGGACAAAAGTCCTAAATGCAAATCTCGATTTTTGCAATTTTAATTATAGGAATTCATAATAAAATAACCAGGTTTTCATAAACTGGCAAAAAATGTGCTTTTTTAAACATATACAAAAAAACACAAACACTTGAAATCAAATAAATGCTCTTATCAGTATTAAAGGTAGACTCAAGACAAAACAATAATACAAATTTTAATGTGGTTAGAAGGTGAAAAACAATATTATATAATAATGAGCGGTGTTACTAGAGGTACGTAATTTTATTAAATAAATATATTTGATCATTTTTGTCTATCCTTCTTTATTCATTTTATTTGTAAATATGAAGATTTAAAAATAATAACTTTGGATAAGCTTTTAAAAAAAGTGATCGTATGTTATGCAAGATTTTTGGTGCATAAATACTCGATTTATTATAGTATCTTTTGCCGCAGAAATTATCTGCAACGGCCTGCAACGAACTAAGATACGTATTTTTTTAGCCGATGTTTGCAAGATATCAAGGCGCGCTTTATTTGAAGAGTGGTGTGCTTACAAAAAAAATGAAAGGCCCCTCAAAATTTTATTAAAAATTAGGTCCTATCTGCCTACTGATATTCCTGAAGTTATAGAACAAAACTTAAAAGAAAATAGTATCAGTTTTTGTCGCCAAATTAACAAATGGTGGCAAGAATGCTTCCGATCACGCAAGAAACTGGAAAAAGACCATGCTGTCTGGCTTAATGGAACCATGACTATTAACTTAAATAAACGGCCAACAACTAGTCCACAGGGACCCTCTAGTTCAATGGGAAGACCCCAAAAATTATTCGAAGAATTGTCTCAAAAATCTAAGATTCGACGAGTAGAGCCCCTAGTGAAAAATCATACCTCGAAGGAATTATGTTTTGCCGCCGAAAGATCGAGGCGGTTTTCGACTACCAACAGTACTACATCAAACACTATCACAACCATAAAGGCCATTGCGTTATATTATGACCTTAATTTAACTGTCAGGAAGTACGAAATTTTACGTTCCGTTGTAAACGCGATGCATCCCGACTGTTTCCCAAGCTATCGTTCCCTACTTACAACAAAAAATAAATATTTGCCAGCCCACATTTCTGTAACGGAGACATCTGCTGAAGTTGACCTTCAAGAACTTTTAGAAAAAACAACAATCAGTATATTAAATATTTCAAACTTAAGTAAATGTCAAACTAGTGATTTAAAACTTATTTGTAAATGGGGTTTTGACGGTAGCTCGGGGCACAGTCTTTACAAGCAAAAATTTGCATCCCCCTCTGCTACTGATGAATACATGTTTCTAACGGCTATGGTTCCGATACAATTGATCGACAGAAGTAAAAATATTATTTCGTGTAATTTTAAAACTTCATCAACCTTTTACTGTAGACCCATTAAATTTACATTTATTAAAGAATGTGCCGAAATTATTCGTCAAGAGGAAAAAAACGTTGTTCAATCAATTAATGCCCTAAAAACGTATGAAATTTCGGTAGGGGATGCAAATTTTAAAGTATCATTTGAGATGCTTTTTACTATGTTTGATGGCAGTGTTGCTAATATCTTGTCTCAAACAAATTCATCTGCGAAATGCATCATTTGTGGAGCCACTCCTAAAGAAATGAACCTGGACACAGTTTTAACCAAATATCCGAAAGTTGAAAACTATCGTTTTGGAATTTCAACTTTACATTGCTGGATAAGATTTTTCGAGTGTTTGCTACACATAGCTTATCGTTTACCAATAAAAACCTGGCAAGTAAAGGGAGAACCAAACAAGGCAATTTTTAAAAACACAAAAAAATCTATTCAGGAGGGCTTTAAAAGTAAACTGCATCTTATTGTTGATAAGCCAAAGCCGGGATGTGGCTCCACAAATGATGGCAATACCGCAAGAAAGTTTTTTCAGAATCCACAATTAAGTGCCGAAATAACAGGGATTAGTAAGGACCTAATTATCAAATTCCATACAATTATAAGGGTACTAGTTTCGGGTTTTAAGATAAATGTTGAAAAATTGAAACCCTTACTTAATGAAACACGCTCTCTTTATTTAAGTCTATATAACTGGTACTATATGCCTAGTTCGGTTCACAAGGTTTTAGTGCATGGCTGCGAAATAATCGATTTTTTTGAATTTCCTATTGGGCAACTTTCGGAAGATGCTTTAGAGGCTAGACATAAGGAATTCAGAAAAATCCGATTACATAATAGCCGAAAAACTTCGAGAACAGATACCAATTACGACATAATAAGAAACCTTATAATGTCTTCTGACCCTGAACTAGCATCCCTTAGGCAAATAAAATCATTAGAAAAGAGGTCGGATTATTCAGATATTAAAGAATATTTCATAATTGAGGAGTCTCTAAATGATTCAGGTTTCTTTTCAGGTTGATTTCAGTTTATTTACCCAAAATAGTGAAGATGAAGATATTAGCGACACTGAATCAGAGTAAAGGTTTTTTTTAAGAATTAAAATTCTTCTTTTTCTCTATATAAAACTTATTGGGATTGGCAATAAAGTATAGTAAAGTTTTTCTTATTTTTTTATTATTCAAATTATTATTTAAAATAATGGGTACTTTTTTAGTTTTGTAACAATACACATTGATGACTACAATTAGTTCGTAAAAAATATTTAGGTATATTTTGTTGTTAATAACTAAACTGTTTATTACTATTTATAATTGCAATTTAATTAACTCTCTGAAGAAAAATGTTCTTTTGTTATTTTTTCTTTTTATTACCACTTTAAAATGCAACTATGTATGTAAATATAAAGTTATGGTACTTTGTTTTTATTTTTAAAACTGAATACAACTTTATTTTTCAAAATTATACCGTGTAAATACTTTTGTCCCATGCCCCCTATCTCTAGCAACACTGTGCAGCGCTTTGGCCTTGCACATGCATTTATTTTCGGCAAAAACTTTTACATTCCAGGAGTTTTAAAATTAGAAAATTAGATTTTATTATAATAAATAATTAAATATTAATAATATTAATAGTATTACAACAATTTAATAAATACTAATATGATTATGATATAAATATACAGAGCCGCCGAGAGGGGGGCAAAATGAGCACATTGCCCCAGGCCCCCAACGTCAGGAGCCCCTGGATTTAAAAATAATTCAAAAATCAAAATCAATGAACCTTTTTCAATAATGCATTAGTTTAAAAACAGTATTGGCCATAATTATTACACAGAGAAAAAAGTTAATTGTTCCCAAATAAAAAGAATAATTAAATATGGGACAGAAGCATTGTTTATTTATCCTAAATATATTTTTATTCCTGACACAATAAAGTTTTACTAAAGTATCGTTATTATTTTCACTATTTAAATAATAATACCTCTAATTAGAGGTAATAAACAATATATTCACTATTAATAAAAAGTATTAGCTACACAGTTTATTTGTCCCATTTTTTCTCAGTGTATTATTAATCTTTATGAAATTTTGAATAAAAATACTTCAATTTATATCTCAGTTTACGTGTTCATTTAATAATAAAATAACGTTAAGGAAATTTTTTAGGTAAATAAAAAATATGCTGTTAAAGACCGTATTTTTGTACCCCGAAAATGTTGTACAAATTAAATTAACAGTAACGAAGATACAGCGATTTAAAGTCGTCAAAAATTACCACTTTTCGGCAAAATAATCGAAAAGGGGCCATTTTTACCCACTTTCAAGCGCTGTATCTCATATTTTTTATTTAATTTCACTAAAAGTTATTTTTTGAACGGTTTTCATTATTAAATAAAAGGGCTTTAAAATATTTTCTTGAAAAACTATCTAACATTTTATAAAGATTAATAAAGGCGTTTTAGAGCTGAATCTTTGTTACAGTTGTTGCAATATTTATGGCCAATACTGAGTTCAAAATATAAATTTTAAATGCTTATCCTTTAAATTACAAGCATATATTGGACTGTGCCAAATAAAACGAATATTTTTTTTTCTTGGGTCCCATACGAAAATTAGGTTGTATATCATAAAAAAAAATTGTGTCAAAAATTTAGCCCCCTATCTCCATTATTCAGTTAGCGCTCGCTTAAATAAGAATTTTTCGTAATAAAAATTTTTTTTGCTACTTTTTGTTTTATAAATCAATAAATATAACAGATACAAAAATACCTTTATATGGTGTTGTTGAGAATTAAATTCCCTACAAAAATGACCTTTAAGCTAATTTAAAATATCCCCCATGTTTTTTTTAAGCTAAAAAGAGCTACATTTTTTTATAAATAAATTTATATTTATTTTTAAACAAATATAAAAAAACATTTTATAAAAAAACTCATTGATTTAAATTTTTAAGGAAACTTTATGATCTAACGAAATAGTTTTCACATTTCAATTAAGTAAACTAACATTGAGCAATTAATATAAACTATTTTCGTAATAATATTCTTTTTAATTTTGACGATTTTTTCATTAAACCTTTTTATATTTTTTTCTGTATTATTTATAATAATAATATTATGACCATATTGCTATTTACAAGAAATTCTCAGTTTGCTGATAAAAATAAACATTGTTTGTTATAAAAAAAATACTTACCTACCTAGAAAAATTCATTTAAAATGGAAAACTAATATTCTGGCCGAGCAGAAATTTGTATTTCCAATTTTCTACTACTTTCTTAAAATTAACAGTTGGATTTTACTGATTCGATCGGTGTGTAAAAAATTCACTGGTAGACCAGTTGTTCACTGGTTGAACCAGTTTACCTTACTTACCATTTCATCATTAATATTTACTAATTTAATGAGAGAAATTCGCTGGTAAACTATAGTGAATAAAGGCTCACTGGTTGATTTAGTGAGATTTCAAAGTACAACCAGCCCTGGATGCAGATATTTTTTCCTTAACCAACGTCCCGAGTCCGCCCGCTTGCCGAGTCCCGCTGCTTTACCGAGTCATCTCGCGCTTGCGAGCTCAGTGACTAACGTCTAGGAACAGAAAAATTGCGAAGCTTCGAAACCAACCCAAACCCAACAACCCAACCCAACCGACCCCGCCCCATTGACCCCCCCCGCCCCATTGAGTCAAAATTTTTCAACGAAGGAATATTCATTTCATTACATTTTATATTATATAACTGTAGCAAAATGATTATGAGAAAAGGTAAATAAATTAAAATATTAATGTAAAATTAAATATAAATGATTTTAAGGCCACATTGTATTATTTCGGTATATAAATTCTTTAAAAAAAAATTACAAAAAGTTTTAGAGGCACCAAGATTCGAACCCCGTATCTCTCGCATGCAAAGCAGGCGCCCTTTCATCGAGCTACCGAGCTTATTGTAAAATTCCTATCGCTCGAAAAATAATACCGATTTACAGTGTGACAGCGGGACTCGGCAAGCGGGCGGACTCGGGAAGTTGGTTAAGGATAAAATATCTGCGCCCTGGATCCAGGGGGAGCAAACGGGCCCCAGGCCTGGGCGACAACTCAAGGGGGCGCCAAATTTAATTGTTTGAAATAAAAATAGGCACTCTGGTAATGGTATACCATTGTATCCCGTACATAATAGCCAATTCTAATGTAAAATTGTCCCGTGAAGCCGAAAATACTGTCAAAAATTATAAAAGTCACGGTACAGTGTGTCCGCGGATGGGGTCCCCAAGGGGGAAATAATCTTTATTATTTATTTTACGACCAAAAGTCATTCTTTATAAAAAGTTCTGCTTGTTGAGAAAATGAATTCACGATAAAAAAATTAAGATCAGATATACAGGGTGTTCACAAATTAGGAAAATATGAAAATGCTTCAAGAGAGAAGTACCATTATTTATTATTTTTAACAAAAATTTTATAAAGCAAAGTTGTTTATAAACTAGCATAAAGACGAAATACAAGTTGCAAAATAAAAATTCGAATATTTTAAAATTAAACAAATTTGTTTATAAACTAAAATAAAATTAAACAAAGTTATTTATAAACTAACAAAATATGAAAATTCTTCTAGAGAGAAGTACCATTATTTATTATTTTTAACAAAAAATTTAAAAAACAAAGTTGTTTATAAACTAGCATAAAGACTAAATACAAATTTCAAAATAAAAATTCAAATATTTTAAAATTAAACATAGTTGTTTAAAACTAAAATAAAATTAAATAAAGTTGTTCATGAACTAGCAAAATATGAAAATGCTTCAAGAGAGAAGTACCATTATTTAGTATTTTTAACAAATCATTTATAAAGCAAAGTTGGAAGCTGTTGGACAGGCCCGTAGCCAGAAATTTGATTTGGGGGGGGGGCCAAAACGTAGTAATAATTTTTTGGGTGGCAGGGGGGCGGAAATGGTTGATGGATATTTGTTATTAAAGTTGGACTCATTAGTAAAAAACTGCTTTATTGTTATTAATGTCTGTATTTTAATTAAGCGTCAATTTCAGTACAAAAAATTTAAAATTTTAACCTTCGCGATTTCTTTGCTGCCATAATCTCAAGAACCTCATTCGTATCGATACTTAAGTTTCCATGAATTGACAGTACGGCGAGTGCACTAAGTCTTTCGTTGCCCGTTGAGTTACGTAAGTAAGTCTTGATTCTTTTCATTGTCGAAAATGACCTTTTCACACTTGCCGTTGTGACCGGAAGAGTTACCAAAACTGTTAATAGATATTTGATTGTTGAAAATCTGCTCTTGTCACAAAAATCCAATACTTGTAAAGCCTCGGCATCTTATCCCGATAATTTCTCACACCACAACTTATACTCAGCTTTAACAGCGGATTCTGAGACTCGATCATCAAAGTATGGCGAATTGCAGCAAATTCTGATTCGGATCGATATATCTCGAATTGGATCACGAAAAATTGCGCGGGAAATTTCAAACACCAGTAAAGCGTGAAGTTGTCATAAAAAATATGGCTTGTAATCGATAGACATATTTTTAACATGATTAACATATTTAGGAAAATTTTAGGGTTCACGGAATTTCGGGGGGGGCCGGGCCCGTCGGGCCCTACGGCTGGCTACGGGCCTGCTGTTGGAAATTAAAAATTAACATTATTTTTATATTAAGGAGTTTTACGGTGCTTGTTTTAACTTTTATTAAAGTTATTAAACTTTTATTATAATTAAATATATTACTTTATTCTAGATTCCTAAAATATTAATCAGTTTTTATATTTTAATAATAAGTTCTTGTTCTTGTTTTGCATAATAGTTTATTTCATAACTGTTATATTGTAAATAATATCAATACAAATGAGCATATACTGTACATTAAAAAATAGATATTCAATTTAAGATTATTAATTATAATTATTTGGTAAATATAGTATACTAGTAAGCTCAATATTTTGTAGCACAGAATTTTCTAAATAAATATTACTTTAATGCCTATCGTAATCCCATTCTTTATCAAAC